CATTCACACAAAGGTGAAACACACCTTGCTTTGTAAACACACTAGTGTGTCTGAGTCTAAGCCTCTGCTTAGAGGAAGTCTTGACCTCCCGCCCCCCACCCTCGTTCAGCAAGGCCCAGGGACAGGAGCCTCCCAGCCCAGCATGGCTCTCCGCACTCAGGGTTCAGACCACAGGTCAGGACCATTTAATCAGAAGCTAACAGGCTTTTCTTTTCCATATACAGAGTTGGGCAAATGACAGTGTGTTGTAGCTCGGACCGTGAGGCTCTGTCAGAGACCGATCTTCGGTCAGGAGACCCCCACGGCCAGTACTGCTCAGGCACAGAGAGGGACTCGGGGGCGGGGGGCGGGGGTTGAGCGTCTCATCAGAGAAAGTTTCAAATAGTTAGCAACGGTTCTCCAGAGTTTTAAAAATTGTCATATTGAGACGCAAATCTTAAGTGTCCAGCTTGATAAATTTTACATATGTAGATACATATATACGTACACAGATATACTCGTATATCATTCCAGTCCCCTAGACTTCCTCTTACTCCTTCCTGGTTCATACCTGTCCCACAGAGGTTCATTTATGCAAGCATACACTGGTTTTGTCTTCTTGAACTCGACGTAAACGGAATCGTACAGCATGTAGGTTTTTGTGTGTGGATTCTTGTTTAACCATCTCCCTGCTAACTTTTCATCAGAAGAATTTGAACAATTATTTAATCTCTGGTGGCAAAGTGGGGCTGTGGCGACCGAAGGACTTTATGGCTGGAACACTAAAGAAATTGAAAATTCAGTAACTTCTACACATTTAGCAGGTAGGCCACCGTTCTGTGAATGTCCCTGAGCATATATACAGCTGGGTTTTCTCATCTGCCCCTTTGACTTTTCCCATCAGTCCCTGTGATCCTCAGTGACTTTCATGGTCGTCACGATACACTCTTTAAGGTCTGACAAAATTAATCTTTTTAACGTTTCATAAAATATTACTGTGATTTAAATGGGCCCTGTGGCATTTTAGCATAAGATCATGAATAATTTACAATGGTCATAAATCGATTTATATTGTTTAATTCTTGCATTCAGAGTCTTTCATTGTGCAGCTTTCTCTAACTCTCTGGGGTCCTCTTTGAAATCATCCCTCCACCCAGCATGGTTCAATTCGATCTGGAGTTAAAGTCCATGTCTTGGGTTGGCAAGAAGCTTTCAAATGGCCCAAGTCCCAGAGGGATTTATACACAGATGTGTCCGTTTTTGTTCCAGACTGTGGCCAGACGGGGCCGCAGCCTAGTTGTGGGTCTCTAACATACATCTCTCATATGGTGTGTGTCTGTGGTCATAGAAAGGAAGATACTACAGAAGGGTTTGGGTGGTTCTGTGCAAATCCTTTGCCACTTCAGAAAAATAATTCACAAGCCCTACAGACAGTTGATCACCAGTGTCCCCCGTGGAGGATTGTTCAGTTACTTTAAACAATAAAGAATTTGCATCACTGCACATAAATTTCTTTCCTAAGGAGTTTGGGGATTGAGAGTATGGAGTGAATGGCTGGACACAACACTCCCCTATTTTGATGAGCTGTTCCAACGAGTCAGGTTGACTAGGAGTGCACAGAGGTTTCTTCTAACATTGCTCTTTGAACTTTATTTTACTGTCTTCTATGATCGCTCTAAGCACTATGGAAAAAATAGTAAAGGATTTTAAAGGGAACTATGGGTCTCTCAGCCCCACTAAAGGGGAAGGAAATTGATAGATGGGGCTTTGGGGAATTCTCACTGGCAGCGGCCTGGAGAAGTGCCAGGGCTTCTGAAGGATGCTTTTCTGCCAAGACCTGGCACTAGCCATTTATACCCAGTGCTTTGTTCTAGAATCTTGGCTGTTTTTCTTTTGCCAACAATGCATGCTTCCTGAGCCCATGCCCTCTAGGCAAATCTCACAAAGCTGCGGAGCCATCAACAGCCAAACCTTTCTCAGGCCCCTGCACTGAGACACTGCCCCAAAAATACACAAAAGAAGGAGCCATGCCCCAAACATTTAGAATTCCAGGGAACTTTAAGTTTAAATTCAAACTACACTTTCAGATTATTTTGACATGGAGGAGGATTTGTATTAATGCAGTTTGCCCATTTAACCGTTTCAAACAGACATCTGTCCCTTTTGATGTCCTGGAGATCCCCTGGAGAGCCTGCTGCTGGGAAATGTTTTATTTCATCCTGATTGACTTCGTTGGCGAGAACAAACCATTTTCAAAAAACTTCCTGGCTATGTGTGGAATTCCTTGGGCAGGGCCCGCTCTGCTGAAGAGTCGTTTATCATGTGCTGGGCTCCAGGGTCAGACAGCTCAGGCACAAAGCCTGGCCCTGCCTCTTATTAATCATTTATGCCTGGACCAGTTACTTAGCCTCTCTGAGCCTCAGTGTCTTCATCTGTAAAATGGTGATTAATATTAGGACCTACTCTACAGGGTGGGTAGTCACAGAGATTTGTAAATACTTATCGAATGCAAGCACAGCGTCTGCACATATGAAGCGCTCGCTGAGTGCTCATCGTAGTTACTCCGTATGCAGGCCTGGTGTCTAGATTCCCAAGGCGCCTCATCCAAGAGAGACTGATGAGTTTCTGCAACATCACCTTGGGTGGTGGTCCTCTTTTATGTGGATGTGGGAGATGAACTATTTCCAGGTAGGCAGACGGGTAGACCTCCTGCTACTGGTGAGACGTTCACTTCCGTTTACCAGTCTGTGAACAGAGCTGGCCAAGTCAATGCCAAATGGATTTAAGGTGGATTAAACCAATTTGTCTCTCCACTGCCTGCAGGCCTCACTGTCCCGGGTCCATGAGATTGGTAAAACTCCAAGACTGGTGGTGCCATAGTCTGGCACCCCTTCCCCACAGCGGGTCCCATTAAATGGGTTATGCTGGCGATGCCACCCAGCCCCTGGCGTCAGCCAGCAACTCCACTTTGTAGGAGAGGCAGCACTCCCTCCCTTTCTGCTGGTTGACTTGACCAGCCTCAGCCGCTTCCACGAGGGCAGCTCAGTGTGGTACCCCAGGGCAATGGAGAGGGCAGGGGTGTGGAAGTCAGGCCAGAATGTCCCAGCTGCCTCCTGAACTCAGCAAACAGGAAGTGAAGTCACTTCTCTGAGCCTCAGAGAGATGATGCTGGAGTCACATGAGTCAGCACATCTCGAAGGCACTTCACAGCCAGTGAGCAGGGCCAGGCCAGGCCAGGGCAGGGCAGGGAAAGTATGCAAAATATAAGGAGGCACCCAAACTTGCACAGCCCTGCGAGAAGTGCCTCCTTAAAGTTCGCCTTTAGGCGCCTTACCTGCCTCACTTCACCCCAGCCCAGCCAGCCAGGCCTCTGGGATTTAGACTGAGATCCAATTGCTCGCTTAACACCCTTCACCGATGCCCCATCACTAGTATTAGTAGTTGTACTATGCTATAATTCATCATATCAACAATAATAACAGCTAACATTGATTGATACCTGGCACCGTTCACTTTATAAGTATTAACTCATTTAGTCCTTACAGCAGCTTCATTATTGTTCCCATTTGCAGATGAAGGAATTAAGGCACAGAGACGTTAAGGAATTTGCCCGCGGGGACATACAGAGCTGGTATGTGGTAGAGCCAGGACTCAAATTCAAGAATCCAAGCCGATAACCACGACACGAAGCTGCTAACATATGCTGGTCCCAGTGGGTGAAGCCCAAACTGCATGACCAACGACCAAGCCCCTTCCCAGTCTGGCCCCTGCCCCTGTCTCCAGCCTCCTCCACCCACATTTTCCTTGCCCTCTGGCCAAAACAAACTCCCTGGAGTGGCTCCAAAGAAACTGTTCTTCATACCTCTGTGTCCTTGCACCTGCTGTCCCCACCTCCTATCCTTCCTGACACCCGTTTCACTCTCGCTGTCTGGCAAACTCCTATTCATTTTCCAAGACCCATCTTAAGTCATGCCTCCTCTATGAAGCCCTCCTTGACCACTCCCCACTGGGTGTTAATAGCTGACCCTCAGTGTCTTCAGAGAACCTTGACCTTCCTTGGCGCCTTCAAGCTGCTGACTGTCAGATAGCGTTTGGTGGGACAGACAGGCAATTGGACCTGCAGGGAATAAAGAAGGAGGAGTCATGTACATGGTTTGAGTGTTTCCACCTGGTGGACGTGAGGTGGAAGGGTGAATTGCAGTCTCTTCTGCTGGTGTCACTTGCTTGTGCTCCCAACGTGTGCGCATCCCATGCTCTCAGGGAATATCCACAATTTATTTATTTAATCTGGTGCTCAACCCAAGAAACAGGGATCTGCTCTACGGATGAGCAAACCCAGCCACAGCTGGTGAAGTTGTTGAGAGAGGGATGTTGTTGTGCAGTGTGGCGTCTTCCTAAGAGACGACAGGGCTATGTTGGCCAAAGTGATTTTCCCCCTATAGGCTTGCTTTGGAATTTGACTCCCATGTAGACTGTGACTGATCAGCGAGGCTGACTCGCGATTACACTACTTGGCTCCTGCGTCTGTTTAGTGCTCAGCCTCCTGGGCACAACTCCAGGGCACCATTTGTCTTAAAATGGATCTCTCTCTCTCGGTGCCCAGGCTGTGCCCAGAGCCTGGCCGGAAGCTGCTCAGTTCACCATCATTGGACAGAGAGAGTGAATGACAGCTGAGCCCACCAGAAACCTCCACCCAGGCAGCTGGTTTGGCCCCACCTAAGAAATTTTAAATCACATATTTTAGTCTTTTGAACTGTGTTTGACAAATCTGGGAGCAAGTAACATCCCTGGTGTTTATCTGGTGGAATCCTGTCTTTTGTTTGTTTCTCTTGCAAGGAAGTAGGATGGATGGGAGAAGTAACAGGGGTGTTCGTATAATATCCTGTGCTCTGATGATTAATGAACGGTGATGAAAACAATTGGAAATTCCCGCCCAAAGAGCTGCTGGTGAGGCAGAAACTAGCAAAGGTGTCCTAATAAGGAGAGGTCGGGAGGCAGGAGAGTGAAAAGAGCTGTGACTCATGGGCCCAAGTGTGGTGCCTGCAAGCTTTCCAGAAGGCTCTGGGCCCTGTCCCCGTGAGGGTCGGCTGGGATTTCTTTCAGCCGGTAAGACCTCGAAATCACAACAGAATGCGAAGCTTTGTCTGGGTTTCTGTGAATCCTGGGTAATAGATCTCCCGGAATAGTACACCAATGAAATCCCAAGTTCCTGGGGAGACAGAAGAACGAGATGTTGAAAGAGAGAACGCCCATGCATTTTCTCTAAATCACTGTACGCTTATCAAGCACTTAGATGTGCCGGCCCTGCTTAGGGGAGCGGGGGCGGGAGGCCGAGATTTATTCCACAGCGTTGGGATTTCCAGCTTTGAGATATGATTCATGGTGGTGAGTGGGAAAGAGGGAAAACGTGCAAGCAGGATGGTCTCGAACTTCAAGCGTTTGTCATAAAACGAGTTATAAGTTATTTTACTCCAACAGTGGGGTTCTTTCTGCTACTTTTATTACAGCGACATGAGTGCCTCTGGAGTGGTAGCATTGGTGGTGGGGGGTGGGGAAGGGGAGTCCAGATTTCAGGTCTGCACATGGTTGAATCATCTTCTTACTCCCTCTTTCCCCTTCTAGCTGACATATTTGTCATGGAGGATGAGGGGGGCAGTTGAAAATGACAGCCCTGGGGGTGAGGTGTCCTTGGCGTTGACTCTGGGAAACAGCCCGTCATATAATAAATTGTCTCCAGCTGCCAAGGTGGGTCAGACCTGGCTTTGGTGTCGTTAGCTTGATGTTTCCTCTGGGCTGTGAATTGGAAGCCAGGTGGGGACTATGCCACCCAGATTCTCTGGGCTGCGGGACTGGGCAGTAGGACGTGCTGGGTCGGTCATCTGAAGTCCGAACAAAGCAACGTGGTCAGATGTTAGAAATACACCCCGAGTGAGTCGCTTAACCCTTATGAGGCTTTGTATTCTTTGTTTGCAAAATGAATTTGGGTGAAAATCTGGGTTATTTAGATCCAGAATTTAAAAAGATAAGTAACAGAGGTACCATTAGTGATTCATGAAGGAAGGATCAGTATATGCACATTCAATAATTATATTTGAGACAGCTGGCTTTCCATGGGGAGGGGAGTGGATTCCTACATCATAGACTAAAAAAAGTGTTCCCAATACAGATTCCAGATCCTATGATGGGCCTATTGGCATATGTGGCACTATCATTTTTAAAGCCCTCCAGACTTCAGACTTAGAAATCCCCAGTCTAGACTATTAACCCTCTGGGACAAGGACTCTGCCTGTTTTTGTCATTAAATCATATGCACTGAGTATGGTCCCTAGAACATATTACAAACCCAAAAAGTGTTTGTTAAATGAATACGTGATGTAAAGTTTCTAAAAGAAAAAAAAAATTTTTTTTTTCCAAAAGCGATTGTACATTTTTCTTTGGCATTCATTAACAATAGAACATATTGTCATAGCTCCCAAATTATTTGGGGAACCGACCTGCCTAAAAGCAGGAGGGAAGAACTGAATGGAGAGATGGCAGCGAGATTAGCCTTGTTCTTCTCAAAACATAATTTAAAAATATTTCCCATACCTCGAGAGAAACTAGGCCAACCCCAAAACATTATTAAGCCATATTTTAACTGTAGGCATGATTATTCTTTTTTTTTTTCATTTATTAAGTCCCTACTCTGTGTAGAAACACAATCTTTCTAACACAAGTTTTTGTTTCTCTTTTTTGTTTATTAAGGCATAACTTATATGCAGCCAACATCAACGATTTTAAGTATCCAGTTTGCTGAATGGTGGTGTCTGTGTACATGGTGTGATCACTGCCATGGTCAAGATCTAGAAAGGTTCTCTCATCCCAAAGTATCTCCTTCAGCCTCAGGCACCTGCCGATCTGCTTTGTGTCTATCACTTCATTAAACTAATAATAATCATAATCGTAGAGTCAGGAATTTTAAAATGATGCGTTAGCCAAAGGATGTAAAAGCAGACAAGGGAAAAATGCAAGCGAGAAAGAAATTGGGCTGCAGGCCGGGCTGTAGACCTGAGACTTCACTGGATACGAAATTAGTCCTACTGGTGACCCAGGGCTGGAGGCCACAGAAAACGTCCTGCCTGAGCCTTCAGAGACAGGTGCTCCAAGAATTTTGTACAAATAACATGATAAGCCGTGTTTATGATCACAGAAGAAGAATGTGAAAGTTGACACATACCCCTTTGTCATAAATCTGACAACCGGGTTTCTAAACGCGGGTCTAGATTCATTTTTAATCCGATGTCTTAAAGAACCCCTGGACCTTCCGATCTATCTCCGAAGATTCGAAATGGCTACACTGCCTGAAGATGAAGCATCCGAGTAAATAAACTTCCGTCTCAGAGGATGTTTTCTCTCTCTGAGGCTATTAACCAGAGTCCCTGGTTCCCGCCCAGATTTATTAGCCCAAACTGCAATACAGGAATGGTGATATGTCTCTAAGAAACGAAATGCAGCAAAGACAAGGACGTTTTCTATGGAGCTCTTGGGAGGCTCATAACTCCTGCCTCCATGGGGACACCAGGCACCGTCTGGGTCCTGAGGCTTCCACTGGAAAAGGCAAGTAACCGCCGCCTTCCTGTAGGAAGTGCTCACGTTCTGATCGTGGGAAGCGAGACGAGAACAAATGAAAAAATAATGGCGCCCTGAGTCACAGACTAGAGCAGGGACGGACATACAGGAGGTTTAGGATGACACGGTCGGGGCGGAAGGAGCACTTTGGGTGGCTGGTCAGGGAAGGACGCTCTGAGGAGATGACCTTTAAACTGAGACTGCAATGACAGAACGGCCCCAGCTCTTGCTAGAGAAAGAGCATTTTAGGAATCAGGACCGGCACATGCAAAGGCCCTGAGGTGGGAAAGGGGTGGGTACATTCAACAAAGAAGGCGAAGGTGACCGAGTACAGGAACCAAGGCAGAGAGCGAGACAAGCTGAAGCTGGAGAGATGAGACGTTTTGCTCCAAAAATGCAAACCGAAGCCATTTTGGAAACAAAGTCACCAAGGCCGCTGTGCTGGTGCCCTGGCACTCAGGAACGTGTCACTGCTGGGCAGTAGCTGGCAATGCTTACTGTTGCAAAGCGACTTCTTACTTACTCGGGTACTGATCATAGCCTCTGAGCTGGCTGGGGATTGAGAGTTCTTCTAGCCCAACCCCCTCATTTTACGAATGCAGGAACAGGATCCAAAGAGGATAAAGTTCTTACCTGATAAACTGGGGTAAATATTTGTAGTTCACGATCGCAGGTTAAGGGTTCAATTTCCACACTCCTTACACAGAGCTGCTGTCCAGCAGCACTGGAGCAGAGCGAGCGCGCGGGGGAGGTACAGGAAGAGGCTGCCAAAATTTCAAACGTTTGATCACGCACAGTTGCTGGGCTCTGGGAACCCAGGGTATGGGAGGACAAATGCCGACGCCTCTCGTGCCAGAAGTTCCGGTAAAGTTAAAGCACATGGCTGGCCCACACCTGGAAAAAACTCAAACGTCACTCAACAGGTGCATGGGTAAATAAACCGTGGTCTATCCAGACTACGAAATACTACTCAGCGATAAAAAGCAACGAACTACTGACCATGTAATCGTGTGAATGAAGTTCACCAACACGCTGAGCAGAGAAGCCAGCTACAAAAAAGAGAATATTCTGTAAGATTCTGTTTATGTAAAAATCCAGATGAGGCAAAACTAACTGATCATTTTCTGGGACTCGTGTGAAGGTTGACTGCAAGGGAACTTTTGGGGGTGATGAAAATGTCATTAGATCTTGATCGTTGTGATGGTCGTGTATATAGATTTGTCAAGACTCTTAAAGTGAGGAGGTCCTGAAAATGTCATTAGATCTTGATCGTTGTGATGGTCATGTGTATATAGATTTGTCAGGACTCTTAAAGTGAGGAGGTCCTTTTTTTTTAATTTTCATTTTTCAATTAGAGTTGACATTCAGTATTATTTTATATTAGTCTCAGGAGTGGGTCCTTCTTAACGTATATAAATTATATCAATAAAGTTGATTAAAAACAAACATTTTTTAAAGGGTGGAGGGAAAGCGCAGCTGGAAAACAAACAAACAAAAAACCTCTCTGTTGGATTGTTGTTCGTTGGCAAAACACCTACTGTGCACCTTCGAGGCTCACGTTCCGTTGCAGGCACTGACCTTCTCTTTGCTGCCAAATGTGGTGGGACAGAGGCGCCAACTGCAGCCCTGTGGGTCTCTGTGACCCCTGGGTTCCCTCCACCTGCAGATGACCGTCCCTCCATCCACTGCTCCTAAGCCATCAACTGCCCAGAGACCCACGATCAGGACCCGAATCAGGGAAGGGGCGGTGGCCGCCGAGGAGAAAGGTGGCTCTTCCTTTTTAGTGGAAGACTTAGAAATCGATAAAACAGAGGGAACGGGAAGGAGATCGGGCTTGCTCATAAATCAGGGCCCCATCCTGACGGGTGTGCACACTTCTGTGCAATAACCAGTCCCCATCTCCCTGGCATGGTCTCGTCTGTCTGTTCAGATTAATACCCCAGTCTGAGGTATTAGCATGATTTTGCTCTAACTTTCCAAGTTCATTGACACAGTATGTTTATATCTAATTTCTGCAAAGGTTTTCCTAGCCTCTGTTACTATATGCACGTGTATGTAGGTATGTGTATATGTATGTATGATGTATGTTGTATTGGACATATGAAGCGCCCAAGGCAGGAGACAGCAGCCTTTTGCAGATAATCATGTCCCTCCGCAGACAGACGGTTCCCTTTGTGGACTTTCGTATTGAGAAGTGGTGTGGCAGTTCCTCTGATTGCTGTTTAATGTCACACAGATAGGGTATCTGAAAACATACTGCTCAAGACATCTAGGATGTGGTATAGTGTTTTTAATTTTTAGCAAAATTAATAAACCAAACAAGAGACACATGTCAGTGCCCAGCCCACAATGGCCTGGTTCTCTCCCGTTGGAGGGACAACACACTGTCATTTTACATCATCCCCCTTCCCGGACCAGGAGGCAAGGAACAAAGTTGTCAAAGAGGGCATTCTCCCTGGACCGACTGAGGGGAAGACGGCAGGTTTGCAGACCTGAGCCATCCTGCTCACTCCACTTTCCTTCCTTCCTTCAGAAGCTTCTGAGATTGCTCTGCCACCTGGAAGCGGCATTACAGTTCTCATAAAGCCCGGGACCCCAACTCTGCCAGTGAAGCCCTGTTACATCATCTTTTCTAAAAAACCTACGACCATGTTGTTCATCAAATCCGGAGAAAGAAAGGCTTTTTCCTTTAGCTGCCAGAATCCGGAGAATCACTTTGTCGTTGAGATCCAGAAGAACATCGGTAAGTGTGCACTCCTGGACTGGCCCCTCTGCTTCTCTTTCTCATGCTAAGCCAGCCTCTGTCACTAGGAAGATAAGATCTATTTTGAAACTCTGACTTTATTCAGCTTTTACGTGGCAGGTCACGGTTCTAAGTGCTTTATATGGGTTAAGTTGTTTAATCTTCAATTCAGCCCTACGAGAGGGTTACAGAGACAGTAACTGGCCTAAGGTGACTCTGTGGATAAGTGGCAGCAAGACCAGAACTCAAGTTCTCTGGCTCCAGAGTCTTGGCCTGTAACCACTAAGCCACACTGTCTCTGAGCAGAGCAGCTGATCTTCAGGTCTGCGATGGGTAAAGACATCTGTCAAAGGAGTTGGAGGACGAAAGAAATCGAAAGTTGAGGAGACAAGAGTGGGGAAATGGGTCCACAAAGCACAAATGGAGAAAACAGCAGCTTTGGAGGCTGAGGGAGCTGGGTTTGGCTTCAAGCTCCAAGTCTACATACTGATCATGTGACCTGATCACGTGACATCCTATAAGTTACTTAACTCCTTTGCGACTTAGTTTTCTAGTCTATTAAATAAAAGTCATTGTACCAACCAATAGGTTGTTATGAAGATAAAATAAAATAATGTATTGGGAGTGTATAACATATGAGAATTCAACAAACTATAGCTATTAGTATTATTATTCAAAACTTGAGCTTGGGGTAGGAGATTGACGTAAGAAATAATCAGGCAGAAAAAAAAATGTATAATTTCCTAATCATTTTAAGGTGGGTATGTCATCTGGGAACTAATAGGCACGGTAGCAACCATGAGAACAATATTTGTGTTCTAATTAAAGCCATACTCAGAAAATTGCTTTGTATTTAATGGAAAATAAATGAATCAGGCAACAGATCATGAAGGAAGAAAAGGGATAAAATAAGCCTTAGGAAGAAGGAATTCAGAAAAATAAAAGGAGAACTTAAAGTACTTAAAAGAAGTTTTAAAACTACATTTGATAACTAAAACCAAGCCTTGGTTCTCTACAGAGACCAATCACATAGACAAATCCCTGGCTGGTCTCCTGGAAAAAAGCAGAAAATACAAATACACAGCATCGGAAGTATAAATGTGGGTTTAATGACATATACAAAGGCGATTTCTGAAATTGCTAGAGACTGTACCACGCGATATTCAATGTAAGAATCTGAGAGACATGGATGATTTTCAGGGAAAACTTAATGGGTTAGATTGACTCATATAGACAGGTAGGAAACCTGAATAAATAAATAACCGGGGAGGAGATTGGGAGATGTCCAAGATGGAGGAGAGCAGGGTTCGAGTTAGTTAGAGATGGTTTCATAGAGGATCCTATAAAACTTCAAGGAACAGATAATTTCTGTGATATTTACACCGTTCTAGAGGCGGGTTGGCAGGCTCTCACTATAAAAGGCCAGATGTGGGCCAGATGGTTTCTGTCACAGCTACTCAGCTGTGCTATTACAGCATGAAATCAGCCATAGATAATGGGTAAACAAATAGGCAATGAATATTCCAGTGAAATTTTATTTACAATAACAGGTGTTTGGCTGGACCGGCTTCATGAGCTGTAGTTTGCCCACCCTCATTCTGAGCATAGAAAGAGAAATTTCACAGTTCATTTTATAAGGCTTCTACAAACCTGACATCAAAATCGAAAGCATAAAAAAAAAAAAAAATCTCTTATGATTAAACATGCAAAAAAAATCATAAATAAAATATGTGTATCAAATCTAAAAAAATGCATTGAAAGAATAATGTAACCAGAGCAGAGAGGGTTCACTGGAAGACTGTGAGATAGCTCATCATTAGCAAATCAGTCAACATAATGCTTTGCATCGTTAGATGAAAGAAAGAATTACATATAATCATCTTAGATAATTTTACATGTTTTAAATAAAAACTCTTAGTAAACCACAAAGACAAGGATGTTTTCTTAATCCTATTCAGTGTCTCTATCAAAAACCAAGCAAATATCATATTCAACAGGCAGACGAAGAAACACTGCCAATAACACAAGGAAAACATAAACATTCCCACTATGCATTACTACTGGTCACCATTATTCAGAAGTTCTCATTAAATTTTTAGGGATCATCTTAATAAATACGTAGAATGAAGCAAAATATAAAATTCTACTGAAAGGCAAAAGAGAAAATGTAGGTAAATGGAGAGGCTTACTGTGTTCCTTGATGAAAACCTTGGTTCTTTCTGATCGTCAATTCTGCCCTATATTAATTTATCAGTTTAAGTCGATTACAGTTAACATCTCAGTGAAGCTTTTACGGAGCTGAGGAGAATATCGATATACTTAAGAATTCAGTGGAATGATGGGTTGCTATTTGAAAAATGAAGGCGATCTGTGTGTGTCTGACATGGAAAGATGCGCCGGGTAGTTCTGTTCCGTGGAAAACAATGCAGCTTCTAGGAGGGGGCACAGTTCAGTCCCACGTTATGAACTACACACACAGGCACATGTGATCACGCAGAGCCCAAAGGCTGGAGGGGTAAACACCAAAACTCGAACGTTATATTATTTCTACAGTGGATGGGAGAAGGGAACAGGCGACGTTCATTTTCTATTTCCCGTTCTTCCATACTGTCATTTTTTTTTACAAGCATGCATTCCTCGATAGTCAGTGAAACCAATAAAGCGACTGCCATTTTGAAAAAGGGGAAAGGGTGACACATCTCATCTCGCAGGTGTCTGAATGCATCGCTCTTTCAGCCCTAGGATGTGACACACAATTTTCTACATGGGAAAAACCCATGCTCGCTGTTTTTGAAAATGATATGAAGATATTCATTTCTACACTTGAGCTTAGCCAAAAGGTCGAGAAGCGATTAATTTCTAAAATAATTCCTGTAGACACTGGACTGCAGTCCAGTGGTCTGCCTGTCCTTCATTTATTTATTTATTTATTTATTTATTTATTTATTTATTTATTTATTTTATGCCTACAGCACCTGGTCTTCCTAGGTGGGCTCCCATCCAAGTACTAACCAGGCCCAACCCTGCTTAGCTTCTGAGATCACACGGGATCGGGCTTGTTCAGGGTGGCATGGCCGTAGACTGCCCGTCCGTCCTTTTTAAAACCTCCGAATAAGCATTCTGAAAGTTTCAGATGAAGTTGGACATCTCCGTTGTTACCCTTTATTGAAGAGTCCCATTAAAGTTAATGAAAGTGGAAGTCTGTGCTGGCATCATCCGTGCCGTGAACCACTTCCGAAATGACACTTCTCCATCCCCGCGTGGGAACCGTCTTAGTTATTTAATATTGAGGCGCTGGACGGGAAGCAGAAGAACTTGGAGGCGTGCTGGTCATTGTGACTACTCTTCTCTCTGTCCATCCTCCCCACCAAAGCTCTTGGCAACCAATTAAGAGATGCTTTCACAGCCTGACTCTCTCAGTGGCACATGGCTGGTTGGTAGAGCTGTGGCTGGGCGATGGAGCTTGGTATGAAATTAAATCAGACTCCCTCAGGTGGCCCAGG